TGGCCAAATTGAACATCAGTACCGAATATAGATTGGGCAGGTCGTTGTATTTGTTTATGGACTGGCGAGCCGTGAACCATGATCCAAGCAATTCGCGGCCCACGCGATTGTTATCTCTCGCGAGAATTTCGGCCCCATCAAATTTGAGCGTGTGACCGGATCTCGTTAAATGAGCCGCGACTTGGGAGGTAACATCATTACTTCGCACTGCTGTCGCGTGTTCAGAAATTCGCGTCTTAGGAAGTCCTCCAGTTACTCCGACGTAGTTGCTCTGCCCGCAATTGCACCAGATCCGATAGACGACTCAGATGTTTCTCGCCGTTGCAGTGGAACTTTTGGCTTCATTATCTGATGGCCAATGGTTGTCTCTGGCCTATGTGCGACTCCAACTCAAAGTGGTGCGAGAAGGCGGCCGACGGCCTTCGATACGTTTTGGTGTACGGTACAACTCGCCAAAATTTGGGCTCACTGATCATTGTGAATTTAATATCAGGCTACTTGAATCAAATAAGTACACAATCGACAGTATCTATTTCGGAGGTGCAATTATTTCTGTACTCCACGTTAATTGCCTATATGTAAGGCGTTTTGGTCCTTTTCAATGCATGGTGCATGTGATTTATTAGAGTTTGCAGTCTGATACTTGTATATTCAATAGTCTTTTAAGCTTGCCATTGCCTTCCCTGCCTCGTTCGGCATGTCGTTAGAATCCCCATTTGCCAGCAGATAAACTAATGTATTCGTTGCTTTCAAGTACAATTAATGCCTCTCTTTATCATAAGACAGTACCGAGAAATTATTTCGATTGATATTACGAACGGCAAAAGGTGCCTCGGGTTTTCTGAAGGTTATTTAGATACGATGCTGGCAAAAAAAGTTGGAGTACTTAAAGTTGGACGGATTATATTTTACTTTTCCGCACAAGGCGTTATCCTCTGTGGATATTAGGGCCATTGAAAATAATTCTACAACTCCATTCGAACACGTGGGATAGGAGTACTTTGTCTTTTATAGGCGATATTTGATCAGATTATTATCGCGCCTTGTGCGAACGTCTGTATTGAAGACGGGAGTTACCATCGCATATTTTGGATAAAGGCTCCTCAATGCGCTTCATGTACGCTGCCGTTATCGACTCTGCTTATTCATTCGAGATAGATTTAGAGACGTGAAAATAAAATTTCCGAATCGGCAATACCAAGGGATTTTAATGCGAAGAGTACTTTTGTTTCTTCTTACCATTCGTAGTCTAGAACGTAAAGCATGCTCTCACAGCTGGTCGAAGGATATTCGACCAGTGCATGCACTGTCATTGCATATTTTATGCTCTGCTCATCCGACGTCACTGATATAGGACCACCCGAAGATTGAACGACTACCAAAATTGCATTATTCCTTCTTTCCTTCTCTTACCCCCAAAGGGTGTTGTATTCTTGTCGGTAGTTGATTTGCCCTCTTTTTTGCAGTAAGTACTTGCCTCCGAATTCTGCAGTTTGCTTCCTTAGCACATTATTGGCACTTTAGACTGTTGAGGGTCCAATGTGAGCCTTACTGGGCATCTGGTCCTCTTTGCATCATCTTTACTAACGCAGCTCTTCCTCCTCCAAACTGTATGGTAAATGCAACTATCTTCTTTCAGGGCTGTCCAAAGACTTGGCCCGATTGGCGGCAAGGTCGTGGCAGTAATATGGGCAATAAATTGGCTCTTCCTTATCATCCTCGAGTGGCTTCGTCCCGCCAAGGTTTGTGTTTTGACTTGGGTCAACTCAATTCTACGCTCATTCCTCGTGTGCTACGCCTGTGTGTTTTACCGCGTTTCTTTTTTCCCCTTCTGTCCTCAGAACATCGACCGCGTGCCCTTCCTCTATGCTGCCCATGGATTCTCAGAGAATGATCAAACCCGACGTGAAAAACCATAATCCCGCAGTTTATGCAAGTTTATGCAATTAATGTCTATCATCATCAATCGTTATTCAGAGAGGCAATATGAATGACAGCTCCTTCCCCTCGTCTTCCTCTCCAGCAGCACACTGTTGGATAAATTTTTGCAAACTTTTTTCTCCTATGGTTTTCATTCATCGGCGCATGAGTTTCCTTCTTCTATGTTTATTACTTTGTTATTTTCTCCTAGGAATACAACTTTTCATGTGTTTTTGGGGTTTTATCTCAAATGTACACTACCGACTTCGAATTATTCAGTTGTTGACGCACATATCTCATAATTCACCAGAAAGTTGCTACCTATCGAAGCTTTATTGGGTTTTTGTATGGGATCAAACACCCAATAGCTCGTGTGGATGCCACTTGCACCAAGGGTTCAAGTTAGGCTCTATTTTATCTTCAATAAACCATAAAGGTTGGTTGGTAGCCCATG